GAAAATTACCGGAATTTTCTAGAAAACGATCTGCCAGACTTCTTCCTGTGGGGTTACTTGAAAGAAAAAGTTTACGCTCCAATTCCTACAACTCGGGAGGACATGGTGGAGCCAGAATTCATTACCCTCATTCAAAAATGTGTAGAAATGAAAGGATGACATTTTTAACATTTGTTATAAATTGTTTTCAGAGCCGACTATTGTTGATTTAATGTTAATTTTTGTATTTCAAACGTTTCAAATAACACATTTTACAAGGAAACCCAGTTATTATTTTTTTTATGTACTACCAAAATCTGTGAAAAAATCGGGTCATTCCATTTGACTTTCTAAAGTTACCACCAGTTTCAACCTTAAGGAGGGGTAGGGGGTGGCTAGCGGTAGCACCAAATAATGTCCCCTTTGGTCACATTAACCTTTTATTTAAGACATTTTTTTGTGAAATGCGTATTTCACGTGATATTGAGCTGTCTCAAGTTAAAAGAAACACCTATTATAAGTAGGTATATAATACTAGATGTAACTACTCCACATAGATTCAACCATTTGATTCAAATGCGCAACATTTTCGGCGTAAAAAGTCTTACTTTATTAGTGTGGTCTTGGCACACATTTTTTTTTATTTCCAGTTTAAATTTCTATATAAAAAAATATAAACGAATTCGTATTTCATTCCAAATAATTTTTGTATTCATACTTGGGTACTTTTACCACGAGAGAAACGAGACGAGACGAGAGAAAGGCACTCTCGAGCGAGAAAAGAGTGTTCTCGACGAGACGAGAGACCCATTTTCTCTCGCTGCACGAGACGAGACGAGAGAAGGACCTTTCTCGTCTCGTCTCGTCTCGCGGCATCACTACGGAATAGCATAAAATCATTCTTTATAAAAACTTCTGCTTGTATTTAAAAATGAGATTCCCAACAAACATTTTTAATTAAATGTCCAGGGTGCTCAGAAAATAAAAAAACAGCAAAGTGCTTTAAGAGGGTAGTACAATAATTATTGTTCTATAGGAATCTCATTTTTAAAACTAGCAAGAGTATTTAACGCATATTGGCTAAAGGGTTGTTAAAAAAATATGGTGAAATGTAAAATGATGATATAATAATATATTTTTGATACTTAAAAGGTAATGGTTTTTCGGTTATTCATGATAAAAAATTATGCTTGCGCCATGTTGCAATCGCCAACATTGGCTATCGCTCCCTGGTACGAACTATAAACATTTATTTATTTATTAAATAAATTATTAAATATAAAACATAAAAAAATAAAAAAATACACAAATATTAAAAAAAATCATTTTATATCATTTGGCTAGACTTGGCCCCCTCAATACCAAATATTTTTGAAAAAAATTTATATAAGAATTAAATTTAGCAGCCTTAAAAACCTAAAAAACAAGTCTTGGGAAAAATATTTAAAGAATAATTTTTGCCGCGTAAATTTACCATGTAGGCTCCATGCATCTTCCAATAGTTTGTTGTTTACCACAACAATTAAAACCTCTAAAGAAATTGGTTACTTTTTACTCTCAGGTCAAAGTCAAAGTTGGTGACTAATCTTAACCCTTAACTGGTTATATTTAGTAACGAATTGGCCCCAAAATAAAAAGAGCACATTTAATTAAATTAAATTTCTAATTTTAAGTTCATAATAATAATTAATAATAGGATTATTAGTGATAATTAAAAAACATACAAAAAATTACATAAAAATGTGTATTAAAGAAATTTATAATAATAATAATAATAATAATAATGTTTATTGCCCAACAGATATTATATCCAATTACAGGACAAGGCCATGGTAGATGTATGTAGTTTTTATTGAAAATTTGGTAATAGAAGTGTTGTTTTTACAATATTTTTAATCTGTTGTTATTTTCTATTACCTTAGTATTGCTTGTTTGGGAAAAAAAGGCACAACCGACATACAGTCAACTTGCAGATATGCACATCGAAAAGCAATTCCCGAGCTGCTAAACGAAAGTACCAAAGGCGATTTCCAAACAGATTAGTCTGGGCGACAAGTTTTTGCATTACACAATTTGAAAAATGCTCTGGAGTTTTAAACCGACCCTAAAAAAATAGTAATAAAAATAAGTTCTTAGAATCATATACTTAGAATCATATACCTAAATGCGAATGTAGGTACCAACCCCATTTAACAGTAATAACATGAAAACCAAAATTTTGGTGGATTGGGCGAGTTTATACGAGCCCTAACCACATAATGTTCGGACACTTCATAATTTATACAGAAATTTTTTTCGTGAATACTATCTCAAAATTATTAGAAGTTATGAAAAATTCAGCTTATTTTGGCATATACCCCTCGAAGCGATTTTTATTTTTAAAAAGTTTACCTTTTATTTTTAGCTTTTAAAAAAAGGCTAACTTTTTAACTTTTTTTTTGCATGAGTAAAAAAAGTTATAAATGGGCCCATTAAAAAGAACATAAAATATTATACAAACCCTGAAAATTTGGTAAAAATTGTATAAATAATAAGAAAGTTATAGCGATATATATATCTGCAAAATCTCCCGTTTCCTAAGAAAATTGCAAAAACTCTTTAAAAATAGCATTTTTAAATTACTTATACTTTTTTATAACTTATTTATTTTTTACCAACAACAATGCCTCAACAATGTCCCAACAATACCGAGAACTGTTAAAAAAATAATCGCTGTAATCAAGCCATAATTGTCTTTTTGGTAGTTTTAAAAAAATTTAATTAATTATCCTTGGAAGTTTTAAAAATATTAAAATAAAACCATCCTCAGCACCATACTTTTTTCACCCTGTATTCCTAATATTTTTGGTTCTATATTTCGCTATTAAAGTTTGGCAGGCTAATGTTGGGACACCGTGTTTATAAAATGTCAGTCAGTAATTTAAATTTATTTTAATGAAATATCTTTATTGGTATAAAAAACATAATGGAAACTAAAAAACGTTTTTTCCGTTACGTGTAATGTGATTTATTTAATGTTAGGTTTAAATAAATTTTTAAAATAAACTAATTTACCGACACGTCGCAAGGTGAAGAAATGGTATTCTTGTAATGTATTTTTAAATTTTATTTATAGGCTAAACCATGTCATAAATCGCAGGCGACTTTTTGTTATTAACAAAAGTGTTTTTGTTATAAACAAAAAAACACATTTTTTTAAATATTTTTTTTATTTGATTTCTTAAAAGAATGAACAAAAATTCTCTAAAAATTTTTCATAAGTAGGTAATACGATTTTCCACTTTAAAAAAATTGGTTCTTATCCAAAATATTGAAAATCGATAATAGCGACCTATAAAACTTCTATTTCGCATTACACGTAACAAAAAAAAAAGTTTAAAAAAAAACTTTTTTTTTTGTTACTTATAATGTGATTTAATTAATTTTGGGTTTAAATAAATTTTTTCGCTACGTGAAGAAATGGTATTCTTGTAATGTATTTTTAAATGTTATTTATAAAAAAACATTTTTTTTTTAATTTTTTAATTTGATTTCTGTAACTTGGAAGAATGGACGAAAATTCTCTCAAAATTTCAGACCTTTATCATTAAATCATAAATTAATACAATTTTACACTTTTAAAAAATTGGTTTTTATCCAAAATATTGAAAATCTATGATAGCGACCTATAAAACTTCTATTTCGCTTAAATTTTAAGTAATGGTATATTATGTATCTAGTTTAATAAACGAGATTTGTCACCAATTTAAATTGGGCCCGAGCGAGCTTGCGAGCGATTGTTTAATTAAATGAGTGTCTATAAAAGTTTATGATTAATTAAATTTTAGTACTTTTTTATTTTTGTATTGAGATAATAATTTTCACATTGTCAATTAACTTAAAATTAACTTCAGGCCGTGACTAAAACGCCTAAAGCCACCACTTGTCAATGTGTATTTAAAAGGTCAATTAGTGCCATGGAAAAATTATTTTTGGGTAAACTTCGATATTAGGGCGCGTCGCGTTAAATGTCGGACTCTTTTTTTGTAATATCCCCAATATACATTATATATAATAAACATGGTATAATATTAATTGTATACTAAACATATAATATACATTTAATAAAACTTATAGGTAGTATTTATTAAATAGCCAAGTTAGGAACAAAATATGAAGTGGCTCTTATAATACTCATAAGTTTGTATTTAATACATTTAATATACCGAAATATATTTCGCATTATTACGAGGAAATTAATTACTGTACCTAACTGAATAGGAACAGGTTTTTATTTAAAACTTTGTAGCCATTTTTATGTTATTATTATTAGCTTTTTAGACACTACATAATTTCTAAATAAATACCTTAAGATGGACATACTTATTAATACAATGTGCAGCTGTAAGTACCCACTCTGTTGAAATCATTACCCCTCCACACCAATGTCCAAGAAATCCAAATTGGGGATGTAATAATTGCAAAGAAACCTGAAAGTTAATAAATATTATTTTTTTGAATATAAATTAAAAACTAGGATAAAACCAAAATTTTTATATTTTGTAATAACGTTTATGTCTAATTTACCTAACAATAAAAGGCTTAATTTAATATTAATACTTATTTCGTCAAGCTAATAATCCCAAATCCTACATTCTGATTCCTACATACGATCTCAATCTCTCAATTTTTTTAAGAAATGTTTTATTTGTTTACACAACATTTATATATATTAACAAACACCTGTACCTAACAGGGTGACCGGTAGTAAATTTAGGATTTTAAACTAAAATATTTTTTTTATTTTTTATATAAATTAATATTTCCAAATACAAATTACATTTTAGTCTTTAGGATATTATTTATTAAAGCCAAACGTTGGCAAAATTACGTTCCTCATAACATGGTGATATTGGTCCAACAAAATTTGCAAAAGAATCAGAAGACCCATTGAATAAGTCTACTAACCTAATTTGGCCCCCTTTTTGTATTCAAACCTAAGATGCGCCACACAATTTATTTTAATTGAAGGTCAAAACTACTTCTCTTTAGATAACACCATAAATTCTTGAACGTGTACAGAATTTTGAGACTGCGTACTTAGTGAGCTGATCATTTCTATTATAAATAATTTCATAGAATAACATTTATCTTAAATAATTTAATTTTTTTAAGAAAATAATATTAAAATAATTTTATTTTAAAATCCAAAATGTAACTGTACTAAAGTATAAAAAAATATAATTGTTAATTAACCATGTATATAATATATTTTATAAATATAATAAAATGTATTAATAGTTACCGGAAATACTATATAACAGTATGTGGTCATATACATACATACCTCAATTTTGGCAAGTTTTTGTTAAGGGTCGTGCAACCGCGGTATACCGTACCAAAACAACTTTTCCAAGTCCAAATCCAAAAAGTAAGCGAGTAAGTAAATGGCCCAAACTGGACAAAATAATAAAACACAAAAGGACTTGGGCGTTTCGACACCCAACTAATTTGATCTACTGATCTTATTGGCACAAAAAAGATAAAAATTTCGAGTTTCCACGGTGGAAATAGGTGAAAATTCCACCTTTATCGGTTTTAATAACAGAACTAACAGAACAAAAATTTGTTCACAATACGATTAAAATGAACTTTCAAATGTATGGATGTCATCTATGTATCGCTTTTTTAGCAAGTTACTCCTTCTATATTTAGACTTTTTGCCCAAGGGACTTCTTCTTCTTGGTAATGCTAATGACAGAATTAAAAATACAACAATAACAATATTTATTTCAAATAAATTAAACTAAAATATTTTACTCTATAGAGTAATTCTCGGATATAATCAATATATATATATATACAGGGTGTCCGGGAAAAGGAAGTCAATCCGTTAACCATATATTCTTTAAGTTAAAACAATAAGATTTTCATAATACCATTTTTCAATTTAGAGCTTTATGTTCGATATACAGGGCGACAAAGTTTGAAATTTAAAACTGATTTTTTTTAATAATTCGAGTAATTGATAAGATATTAAGTTCAAATTCGGTACACTACTTCAACATAAATAGTTATATGTTTTGAGACCAACAAAACAAAAAAACAATTGTCAAATAATCAAAATAGGGGGGTCCAGTACTCACTGACTCCCCCTATTTTTAGTACGTGCGCCAATGACTTCCAAACGGTATTTTTTCAGGTAATCATTTATTGTTAAAAAAAATTGTCTCTTATAAAATTTTGATAAAATGATTTGATTTAGAGATAATTTGTAAAGTATGGGTCAGTCCAAGAAGAAAGAATATATGGTTAACGGATTTACCTCCTTTTCCCGGACACCCTGTATAGGGGCTCCGTTCGTTTTCATATGCTTCAAACATGTGTGTGTTTTATCTTTATATTAAAATTACAAATAAATGTTCAAAACATTTATTTCATGGATATGTGCGAAAAGCGGGGGAAGAAGTTGTTGGAGAGAAAGGGGTACTTGTCATTAAAAAGCCTACCCAACTATTTCACTAAGCGACAAAAAGGCGTGTGTAATAATTTAAAACCAAAAGTTGGTATGTAGCATTTTAATTAATGAAACATTTCGCATAAATATTTTTTTGTACAAAAAATAAAAAAAAAATTGCAGTCATTTTTATAGATCATCCCCTTCTCAGGATCCTGAACCCGGTGTTTGTAACGATATTTTAAGAAAAAGAATTTTTATTAACATATACCCTAAAATGCCTTTTTTATTAAGATACAGGATGTCAAAAAAAAATTTGTTTGAATTGTAACCTAATATTTTTTTTAATTTTCAACAGTCTTTATCTTGAAATCTAAGCATTTCTGTATACTTATACGTTTACGTTTGTTTTTTAATATTGTACAAAGAATCAAGTTTCTAGCTAATTTCATTCTTCTCATATCTGACGTGTTCGGTGGTCCAAAAATATTAATAGGCATTTTGCTAAAAACGCATTTTATCGACCTCAACCAAGAGTACTTCAAGCATTTTGAACCTATCGTTTTATATTTCTTAACAACAATTGTTGTTTTGAAAAAATTCCAGTTTAAGGAAAAGTTGTAAATAGAAATCAAATATAAACTTTACATTGTAAATCAAACACTCGTAATAATATTTTTAAATTTAAAACAGCATGTTTGAATTTAACGCTTTTAAAAACATTTTTGCAACGCACCTAGAAGGTATTTAAAAAATTAACAATAAAAAAATAATTTTTGAAACCCTGTATCTTAATAAGAAAGCATTTAAGGACATATTTTAATAGGAACTATGTTAAGAAATTGTGTCCTGAAGTTACGGCCCGTATAATTAGAAAAAAAGCCCTGTATATGTCAGGTCAGGGGCGGATCCAGAATTTTGGAAATGATCCACAAAAATTTTACTAAATTAGTATACGAGGTATGTTCAGAAAATACCGGGAATTGTTAAGGTTAGACGTGTTTTATGAGCTCGGCGATTTTTCGTTCGTTAAAAGAAATGGATAAAAGAGTTTGTATCCAATTTTGGTTAAAAAATGAAATATATTCTATGAAATGTTAACAAAGGCCTATAGTGAGTCTGCTATAAGTAAAACAAGAATTTACAAGTGGTATAAGAGTTTCCAAGATGGCCGTGAAGACGTTGAAGATGACGAATGCCCCGAACGCCCAAGCACATTAACAACCGATAAAAACATGAAAAAAGTGGAAGAAATGGTTATAAACCATCAGAGAAGTCGCTGATGATGTTGGTATATCGATTGGCTTATCTCATGAAATTTTTTCGAATGTTTTGAGTATGAAACGCGTGGCAGAAAAATTTGTTCCAAAATTGTTAAATTTTGAACAAAATTTTTGTCCAAAAACAATACTGTAATGATGCCCCAGCCTCCATATTCGCCAAACATACCTCTGTCTGACTTTTTCCTATTCCCAAAAATAAAGAGAACCTTAAAGGGCCGTCGTTTTGCAAGCATAGATGACATTAAAAGCGCATCGCTGAAAGAACTAAAGGCTATCCCAAAGATCGAGTTTTAGAAGTGTTTCGAGTATTGGAAGAAGAGCTGGCACATGTGCATAATATCCAATGGGGAATATTTTGAAGGCGACAACATTAATGTAGACGAATAAATAAATATTTGTGTCAAAAAACTAAAATTCCCGATATTTTCTGAACACACCTCGTATATATAAATATCAAATTTTGAATTTGGGGGAGGTTAGGACTTGAAAACCCCGCCGTGGATTTACCATATTTTGCTAGAATTTAAACAACTAAAAACTGAATAATCTGAAAGGGATGGTTCGTATGTGTCAAACTCAGTTATAACGTTATTAAAGAAATGTGTTAGAGAGAGAAAAGAGCTAAAAACGTAATAATTTATGGAATCGAAGAAAGTATTAAAACATCATTGCAAGATAGAATGCGAAGTGATAATGTAAAAGTTTTTAGACTTGGTAAGAAGGAAAATGGAAAAAACAAAGACCCCAGATATTAACCTATTATGTACTACCGTGACCTTACACCCCAATATTAAAGTAGGCTCAGATCAAACATTAGTGCAGAGACGAAAATCCAAAAGAGTAAGCGAGGAGGTAAATAGGTAAATAGGTAAGTCAGGTGGAGAATAAAACCTTTTTATAAAATATGAATCTGGTAGCCCTGTCATAAAGAAAAATTTAATCTAGAACCAACCAGCATTACATTATCTGTTTAATACAGAGTTAGATCACCTCAAGTGGACCTCCTATTTCCCACTTGATCGTGGAATTCAAATAAATATATTTTAATATAAAGCAGTCAATATCAATAATAAAATCCTGAAACAGTTTTTTTAATTTTCATTTTAAGAACAATTTTTTTACAATGAAAATTTTAGAGACTTTTAATTAAAAAATAGATTTCAGAAAAACCGTTGGAGATATTTTAATAATATTTTTAGGATTTATTGTTTGTTATTTAAATTCAAAATTTAAAATTATTTATATATTATCATATTTTTAATTAACTTTTAAATAAACAAATGAAAATTTAGTGACTTCTCCCTAAAATTCTGAATTTGTTTTTTTCAGTTTCATGCATTGTACACTTAAGTTAAATATTTTGCAAGAAAATTTCACTGCCCGCTATTAGTTTAAACAATATGAATTTATTAAATTTTATCCTCGAGCGCGAGCGCTGTCAGTATAGCGCGCTACCGTGAGATGTGGAGAAAAAGTTCCATTCAGCTTTAACATTAAAGTTGTTCTTGTGATTAACTTAATTTGCAAAATTATATTTATTTTTATACTGAACAGCTGCTCTCAGAACAATAAGAATTTTTTTAAATATTATTAGCTCCAAATTTATTTTTGAAAAATTCAATTAACTTTGAATTAAAAAGATGAACTAAGCTTGCGTCATGACGTAATTTTTATGTTTCAATTTTTCAGTGTCTCGATAATACACTGTGTAGTGGTGAAATGTAGCCTGATTATTTGACCAATGATGAGATTGAATTGCGCCTTGTAGAAAATAAGAATAATTTTCAGAAAAATCACGTGATAATTCAAAAAAAATTAATCTTTTCGCAAGCTCAGTTCATCTTTTTAATTTAAAGTTAATTGAATTTTTTAAAAATAAATTCAGAGCTAATAATATTAAAAAATATCTTACATTTCTGAAGAAGCAATTTTACAGTATAAAAATAAATACTAAAAATAATAATAAAAATAATTATGCACATTTAGTTAATCACAAGACGACTTTAATGTTGAAGCTAAATGGAACTTTTTTACGGCATCTTACGGTAAAGGAGAATGTGCTGGCTTAGGAGGAAGCGAGAAAAGACAAGCTTATCGTGCTAGTCTTCAATGCGACAATAATTAGCACATCACTACTACAGTCATTATTTAAATAGGCCAAAAATTCATTTAAAAAATTGTTTTTCGTTGTTGCCCTCAAGAGGAACATGATTCTAACAAAAAATACAAACTATGTTTTCAACAATCTGTGTACTTAAGACGGTGTATCACTTCAGTGTAAGTTTTTTTAGAAAGATACAAGATTAACAACTAATAAAATTTTTAAGAAAAAATTAAAAAACGTAACATGTTGCTGGGAAATTTATGTTTCATTTA